CAGAGTCACTCTGCAAAAATTCCGGGAACCTTTTCACGTGGGGAGATATACGTAAATTAAAATTTTGACCTTGAAATTCAAGGTCAAATTTTATTTAAAAAAAAAAATTTTATCACCATCGTGTAGCCCGTCAAAAAAGCTTTAAAAATCATTATATATACATATGTTAACTTTTATGCATTCTACTTATAAATATTGTACATTGAAAAATTTTTTTTTCAAAAGTCAAAAATTAAAAACGTAATTCAAAAACTATTTTATCGAATTCAATAATAATTGATTTTTAGACTTTCACCAACGATGACAACATTTTAGAAAAGTATGGATTAAATTCGAGAACTTTTAATTATTTGTTCCGACATTTCAGGAATTTTGCCTCATAATATGTGTAATTTGATATATATTTATATTTATATAGGTATGTATATAGAGGCATTTCATATGAGAATACGGGGTCATGTCTCAGATTTTTCTCAAAATTCGGTAAATTGTAGTGATAGTGGTGCTAAATAAGTGTAAAAATTTTAAATTTTTAATATTTTTCGAGATATTTCCAATAACAAATTTGAGCAATATTTTTTTAATTTACTTATAACTTTTTTCCTACTAAAAATAGAGAAAAATGTTGTGAATGTTTTTTCGGCAGAAGACCTTAAACTTTTAGAAAAAAATTATTTTTTTAAAAAAATATTAATTTTTAAACATTTTGTTTAAAAAATAAAATTTGTTTATAACTTTTAAACATGTTCTCCCTCATTTAGAAGCGCGAAAAAAATCATGAATATTGTTTAAGTCATAATAAATCGATGGTTTTTGAGATGGCATTATTTTTTGTTTTCGAGATATTAATTAATTAACTAACAAAAGTTAATAAACAAGGAGGGGGTCCTTTATGTTTATTTCATAAACATTATGCTTCCTCATTTTGTGAAGCAAAAAATTCGCTTCCTCGTGAAGGAAGCAATGAATTTGTCCAATTCAATTGATTGATTTAAAAAATTTCGAGTTAAAAATGTTTTAAATTAATTAAATTTTTTGAAAAATAAAGAAAATTTTAATTAATTTTGAGTGTAACATAAACTTTATATATACGAATCGATTCGTTTTAATGCAAGGAATACAATTATTTTATTCATCAACTTGAATTTTAAAAAAACACAAAATTTTTTAGCTAAAATATGAATTTTCGATTTTTCAATTTTTATTAATTCTCAAATTTTAAATCAAATCTATACTTTATATATACCAACCAATTCGTTTCAATGCAGGGAATAAAATTATTTCATATATAAACATGAATTTAAATAAACACATCATTTTTTAGCTAAAATGAGAATTTTTGATTTTTTAACTTTCATTAATTCTTTAAATTTCAATCAAATCTATACTTTATATATATCAATCGATTCATCTTGACATAAAGAAGACGATTATATTATATATTACCTTAAATTTTTCGATTTAAAAATTTTTTCAATTAAAAAAAAATTTTTGGAAAAAAGACGATAAAATTTTTTTTTTGGGGTATTTTTAAAAATCCTCTCGTCATTTTTGAGAGATTAATGTGTTAAATAAGCCTACCAAATTTTACCCAAATCCATTAAAACCTGTTAAAGATATCGTGTTCACAAAAACTATCCACACACACATACACACACACACACACACACACACACACATACACACACACATACATACATCCGGACAATTGATCAGGATCTCATATAACATGTTTCTATATAGAGGAAAATTTGTTTTCACCATTTTTAAAAAGTTTATAAACGAAAGGACTACATAGCTTCCTCCACGAGGAAGCAAAAATGAAATATTTTACGAACAAATAAAATTAGAGTAATTTTAAAAAAACCATTAGAATGCTTATCAAAATCCGCATCCAACGAGCCCTATATGAACTATTTCTAATAAACGGGTGTTAAATTAATAATAATTAATAAAATTTATTTAAATAACACTGGGTTACAAAAAAATGGTCAAGTCGTGTTTATTTAAAATTTTTTGTGTTTATTGAAAGTTTAGGTGTCACTGAACAAGAGTATACCAAAAAAAATTTTTTTCATTCGGTCAGTTCCGTAAAAAACGAGATTAAAGTGTCAAAAAATTGTTTTTTAACACTTTTTGAAGCGTTGTAAAATAAAAACGCAACATGATAAAAATCTCCACAAGGGCTTGAATGAAAGCTTAGACCTTCAACTTTGAGTCCCAAAACTGAAAAGTGATAATTGCGGAGAAAATTTATTTGATATGAAATAACTATCCCAAATAGTCAAAATAGGTGGGATAGAGAGCACTTGTTAAAAATAGATTTCCAAAACCGAATTTTTTTGGAACTTATTACTTGGAAGTTTTTAACTTTTCAATTGACGTTTCGAAAGTTGAATTTAAAACATTGAAAATGGTGGATTGAAAATAGCGTTCAAAAGTTTCAAAAATGGACTTTTTTGAAATTTTTTGAAATTTTGAACGCTATCTTTAATCCGCCATTTTCAATTTTTTAAATTCAACTTTCGAAATGTCAATTGAAAAGTTGAAAACTTCCAAGTAACAAGTTCCAAAAAATTCGGTTTTGGAAATCGATTTTTAACAAGTGCTCTCTATCCCATTTATTTTGACTATTCGAGATAGTTATTTCATGTCAAATAAATTTTCTCCGGAATTATCATTCACTTTTCAGTTTTAGGACTCAAAGTTGAAGGTTTAATGTTTCATTCAAGCCCTTGTAAATATTTTTATCATGTTGCGTTTTCATTTTACAACGCTTCAAAAAGTGTTAAAAAAAACAATTTTTTGACACTTTAATCTCGTTTTTTACGGAACTGACCGAATGAAAAAATTTTTTTTTGGTATATTCTTGTTCAGTGACACCTAAAGTTTCAATAAACACAAAAAATTTTAAATCAACACGACTTCACCATTTTTTTGTAACCCAGTGTAATTAATAACATTTGAAGAAATGAAGATAAATCGTCAATTCTTTTTTTATTTGGAAGATCATCTAATTCTGTATTAAATAAAACCAGTGTAAATAACATTTTTAACAAATCTAAATTATTAACAGATGATTATTGAAAATTGAGGTTTCAGCACCCTACGACACAAGTTGGAGGGGGCTGCCTACCTACTCGGCATTGTATTTTTCAGTCTTTTTCTAAATAACATTTTATAATTAATTTTTGATTCTTGGTAATACTTAATATTCTTTTTTTGACACAGAATTAGATGATCTTCCAAATAAAAAGAGAATTGACGATTTATCTTCATTTCTTCAAATGTTATTAATTATTTAAATAAATTTAATAATTATTATTAATTTAACACCCGTTTATTAGAAATAGTTCATATAGCGCTCGTTGGATGCGAATTTTGATAAGCATTCTAATGGTGTTTTTAAAATTACTCTAATTTTATTTGTTCGTAAAATATTTCATTTTTTATTAACTTTTGTTAGTTAATTAATTAATATCTCGAAAACAAAAAATAATGCCATCTCAAAACCATCGATTAATTATGACAAACAATATTCATGATTTTTTTCGCGCTTCTAAATGAGGGAGAACATGTTTAAAAGTTACAAACAAATTTTATTTTTTAAACAAAGTGTTTAAAAATTAATATTTTTTTAAAAAATAATTTTTTTCTAAAAGTTTAAGGTCTTCTGCCGAAAAAACATTCACAACATTTTTCTCTATTTTTAGTAGGAAAAAAGTTATAAGTATATTAAAAAAATATTGCTCAAATTTGTTATTGTAAATATCTCGAAAAATATTAAAAATTTAAAATTTTTACACTTATTTAGCACCACTATCACTACAATTTACCGAATTTTGAGAAAAATCTGAGACATGACCCCGTATTCTCATATGAAATGCCTCATATTTATAAAAGCATAGATTATACTCGCGAAAAGTACGCTCCATGAGCGCGAGACTTTTACATTGTATCCGTTTTTCGTTATGTTACCGAAGTTTCCAACCAAAATAATAGTTTCTATAGCATTTCTACATAATATCTACTACAAGAATATGCAGTTTTTAGAAAATCGATTTTTTTGAAAAAAGATTTGGTACTAACCCCTTAAGAGCATTTGAACCTTCGTGACGTCACAAATCATGGCGCATGACACGCAAACTTCTCAGGTATGTGAAAAGCACAATTTTGAATATTTTTTAAAAAAACCTTTTGGAAAATGTTCAGAATAACATAGACTCTGTCTGTTATGTGCGGAAAATTCAAAATTTTGCGTTTAAAACGTTTTTTAAACAATGTTTAAGTCACAAATCATGGCGCATGACACGCAAACTTCTCAGGTATGTGAAAAACACAATTTTGAATATTTTTTAAAAAAACCTTTTGGAAAATGTTCAGAGAAACATAGACTATGTCTGTTATGTGCGAAAAATTCAAAATTTTGCGTATAAAACGTTTTTTAAACAATGTTTAAGTTGGTTGTCACAAGTAAGGAAAAATACACGAATTGCTTATATGTAGGCATTGTTTAAAAAACGTTTTAAACGCAAAATTTTGAATTTTCCGCACATAACAGACAGAGTCTATGTTATTCTGAACATTTTCCAAAAGGTTTTTTTAAAAAATATTCAAAATTGTGCTTTTCACATACCTGAGAAGTTTGCGTGTCATGCGCCATGATTTGTGACGTCACGAAGGTTCAAATGCTCTTAATTAGCTTTTATTTTAATTTTAAAAGATCATATAATTATTGTTCACCTTATTAATTAATTGTCAATTATTAAATTAATTAACATTAAAACATGCAATTTTTTTTATTATTAATATTTAATACCTCGCGGTGACGTGACATGAACAAAAAAAAATTATTTCAATAGAAAAAAATGTTTTGCCCTAATAAAATGCAATTTAAAAAAATTAAGATTTAATTTAAAAATATTTGCAAATAATTATTATCATTAATTATATAAGCACAACTTTATAATGCCGAATTAATGGAAATAAAATTTTTACAGGTTGTATATCATATATAGAGGCTCAATTAGATAGTTATTACAATTTAACAGTAACTGATATAAAAGAAAAATGTAAAAATAATGTTGTAGATTTAAATGAATTAAATGTAATTCATAACGACATAGAAAATTTTTTTTTTGATGAAAATACAAATGAATTATCGATTGAGGATGCTTTTGAGACTAACGACAATTGTATGGACAGTATAAATATTACAAGTATACTTCAAAGTGAATTGAAAATTATAAAAAAATGTCTTAAAGGAAATATTTCTATATTAGACGAAGATATCGAAATTTTAATTCGTCAAAGTATAAAAAAATTATGTGCTTTCACTCGACTTTGTAAGTTTTATAAATTAATTAAATAATTTATACATTAATTAATCATAATTAAGTAATTATTAAATCTAGAAACTCATTTTTTGTAGCACTGTTTCAAAGGAGTCTTAGCACTTGTATTGATTGGGATCGCAAAATAGAGTGTGTAAATAATGTACTTAAATCAGGGAATATTTCACCTGAAGAATTAGAAAATAGTGGAGAATTTGCTAATTTAGGATTGAAATATTCTCCAAAAGGACGAAAGTAAGTTTTTTAAAATAATTGCATTTTTTCTCATGTCGAGGATTTTTTTGGTATTACAGAAAGATAAAAAAATTTTAAATAAAAATAAACATTAGTGTAAGTGCACCAATTACCGAGAGTACTCTAGTTGTCTAAATTCATAATTTTCATTTTTACTACAGTTTCATACAGAAAATTTTAAATCAAGATTAATTTCTAAATAATATTTATATTTCTAACAATTATATTTTATATTTTTTAAAAGCAAATAATTGGTAACTAGATCCATATTGGGGCATTTACGCTATAATAAATTACCATAAGTATTTTCGGTTTTTTAGGGGTTTATAATAATTAACTTAATTAATTTTTACTAACCCGGTAAGAAGCGAAGAATCGAAAAGAATTCAGAATCTGAATTCCTTTGAATGGGTGATTTTACGTTTTTATTCAATTCCTCGATGAAGCAAAAAAAAGTAGAAAAATCTATTCTTCTTAATTGACTTGGCCAAAATTTATACTCTAAATTATACATGTAACCTGACGCAGTCAATTGCAAGGCATAAAGATACCTCATTTAATCTACAAATTTTCTATTCCTCTAAATACGCTCCTGATGTCATGACACAGTCAATTAAAAGGAATAGACATATTCACTTCACTCTCCAAATTTCTTATTCCTTTCAATGCGCTTCAGAAATTTTGATACTGTCGATTGAAAGGAATAGATATTTAAAATTTACTCTCCAAACATTTAATTTTTCTCTATTCGCTACACTGAAAGAAATTTCATAGGAAAAAATAACAAAATGCGTATTACATTTTAATATATTCTTTTAGAATTTAGGGAAAAGTGTACTTTTTATTAAAATTCAATATACTTTATATTAAAGTTCCAACTTAAAATCTTTTTTCAAATATTAATAATTATTGTAGAAAGAACGTAAAAAGATTACCAATATTTGAAAATATTATATTAAATTCTCATAGAGTTGTTGCATTATATGGAATGTAGCGTTCTAATATTTGTAAAACTTTATACGAAAAATTCAGAATGTCGGAAGAAAAGGGAAAAAAAGCGGAAACTGTCGGACGTTTCCGTTAATTCTCGGGAGGAAGAGGAGTGAGACTAGGAACAACACATTCACACTTACGATACAGGTTAATACACATACTAATGAACACGCACGTTCATTTCGCTTATACATAGACATTACACGATCGCAACGAAACCTACACTTACAATTCTATACGCATAACGATAAATTTCGCTGGGGGTCGGCATATATCGTTTTCTTATATACTAACTACTGAATATTTTTACCACTTGTGAGAAAGAAGTTTACTTATAATAACTTAATAATAAAAAATAGTTTACTAGTGCCAATGGTGTAATTTTATAGAGGTTACGCTGGGTTCATTTTTATTATTAATTGTTTATATAGATTTTTCTTTTTTTTCAGATTAAAAATTATGATTGTTATAAAAATTAAATAATTGTAAAGATGACATCAAAAAATAAAAATTAATAAAAATAATAATAAATTTAATAATTAATAATAAATTTATTATTATTAAATAACTTTAATAAAACATTTTTTATAAATTGAAAATAAATTTAAATTAAAAAGAATTTAAAACACTATAAACATTTGAAACACGTGTGTTGACAGTTGATAGGTACGTTCTGCTGGTTAACAACACTTTCGAAAATCGGATCAAGTCGTAGAAGTTCGAGTAGGACACGAAGCCGCAAACAGACAGAACTTCGGTTAAATTCGTAGTCTCTCGGGAAAATCCGTGACTTTTAATATAAAGTTTTACAAAATGTGAAATAAGTATACGGATATATGTTATTTTTCTTACTATTTTGTGAAATTATTTATTATAATATTTCGTATTCTGTGAATTCATAAAGAAAATACTAATTTTTAAAATAAATATACTAATTCTTATTTCTTAAAATAATAGTTACTCTTAAATTTATTATATATTTTCATAAAAACTGTAATAGTAATCAGTATAGGTGCACTTTTTCCCTAAATTGTAACATTTATATTAAACTCTAATATGAGTTTAATACTTAGTAGTATGAATTTTCTTTCAGTGTACCAAAAATTTGAAAATATTAAACTTTGCGCATTAAGAAGAATAAGAAGTCTGAATTCTTTTCTATTGACTTAATATGTACTGGGAATAGAAAAAAATAGAAAAAATGATTATTCATCTCTCAATCTTGGATTTTCCGACGAGTTGACTCTGAGACTCGAACCCTCGACCATCACATCTCTCAACCGCACTGGGAGCGCCTTAACGCGCTCGACCAGGGGAGGTTATAAAATTTTTTGAGAAAATGTCTCTTATAATGAACACATTAAACAGATACATATATTATTTTGTTAAGTCATCAAACAGCTTTTCAGATGTTCATTATTACAAAGAGTATATTATCGTATATATATTTTTATGAACATTAATGATATTAATTAATAATTTTGTCAATTTAAATAGTTTTAAATGATTAATTGTGTTAATAAATAAAAATTATAACATTTTTTCATCTTTACAACACAAAAATTGTATTTGAATTTTAATACCTAATTTTAATGTGAAGTTTATTGACTTCGACATTTTAATTTAGAATGACATGGTCATGAACTTAAATTTCAATCAAGTGAATTCTGCATACATTCCAATTTTTTCGAAAATAAATTAAGTAACAATGTTGATATAGCAAATTTTTTTAACAAACTAATGTAATTTATTCAATGCTAATACTTAATCAGCACTCAATTTTTTACCAGAATTTTCTTAAGCTTATGGAAATATTTCCATATAATATAAATAAATAGTTCAGGTCTCATATATTGACTAATATTATTAAAATTCTATTTTACAGAATATTCAAGTATAAAAATAATTTCCCGGTAAGAGGCGAATAATTGAAAAGAACTCAGAGTTCCAATTCTTTTGAATGGGAGCATTTACGTTTTTATTCAATTCCTCGATGAAGCAAAAAAAAGTAGAAAAATCTATTCTTCTTAATTGACTTGGCCAAAATTTATACTCTAAATTATATACATATTATTCTTAACAACCTGACGCTGTCAATTGTAAAACATAGAAATGCCTCATTTATTCTCCACATTTTCTATTCTTCTGAATGCGGTCCAAAATGCGACATTTAAAATTTACTCTCCAAACATTAAATTTTTTTCTATTCGCTTCCAAAAGTTTGAAAATAAGAAACTTCGCGCATTAAGAAAAATAAGAAGCCTGAATTCTTTTGTATTGAGTTATCTCTACTGTGAATAGAAAAGAATTTATTTTTTATATATTTTGATGTTGAATGAGGAATTGAGTAAAAACGTAAATTCACCCATTCAGAAGAATTGAAAATGATCAACTAGTTAAATTAGTTAGTAATTAATTATTACTTATATTCTTTTAAAATCTTAAAATTTATATTCATTTTCTTTCGCTTCTTATAATATTTAAAAAAAAATTGAAATGATTAGGAATTATTAATATACTCGCCAGTTTTTTCATTCCTTTCAATACACTTTTAGAAATCTGACGCAGTCGATTGCAAGAAATAGAAATATTTAATTCATATTACAAAATTCCCATTCCTCTGAATACGGTCCTAAAAACTTGACTCAGGCGATTGCGAGGCATAGAAATACTGAATTTATACCCTAAATTTCCTATTCCTCTGAATATGCTCTTAAAAACCTGACGCAGTCAATTGCAAGGCATAAAGATACCTCATTTAATCTACAAATTTTCTATTCCTCTAAATACGCTCCTGATTCCTCTAAATTCCTCCTTGACACAATCAATTAAAAGGAATAGACATATCCACTTCACTCTCAAAATTTCTTATTCCTTTCAATGCGCTTCAGAAATTTTGATACTGTCGATTGAAAGGAATAGATATTTAAATTTTACTCTCCAAAAATTTAATTTTTCTCTATTCGCTACCAAAAATTTGAAAATATTAAACTTTGCGCATTAAGAAGAATAAGAAGTCTGAATTCTTTTCTATTGACTTACCTCTACTGGGAATAGAAAAGAATTCATTTTTCTGATATTTTGATGTTCAGTGAGGAATTGGGTAAAAACGTAAAATCGCCTATTCAGAAAAATTAAAAATTCTTAACTTCTGCTCTACGTCTGCAAACTTTCAATTTTTCTCTATTCCTCGCTTCTTACCGGGAATATTGATATACTATATTAATAAAAAACTATATTTGTATTCTTTTTACTTGAATGCAATCCTTTTACATGAGAATTTTTGTAAATGTTTTAGTGAAAAAGCCCATTACATATAATTTATAAAATATTTTCTTTTTTTAAGGATATGGGATGATTTGTTAGACTGCTCATCATATGCAATTCAAATGTGTGAGGATGAACAGAAAAACACGTTTTTGGAACTGACTTCGCGAATGAAGGATTTACTAAAAGTTAGAAATTAAACTTTTTGAAATGTAAAAAAATTACATCAACAAATATTCCTTCAAACTAAATTTTTATTTAAGGCACAAAATGTTAAAAATGCTATTACTTTTTCTATTAGTTTAGAGATTAATTTTGTTATGAAATAGAAAAAAACAATTTGTAATAACAAAAGCAGTAATAAAGAAACCTATTTCTTTTTAAAAAATTGTCAGACGTTTTGGTTCATGTGGGAGCCTTTATCTTAACCTTTAGGATTTCAAAGAGATAAGAAACTATTTGTAAATTCTACATCAGTAATGTTCTTCAAGCTCATCGAATTAATTAAAATAGTAAAATCTACTACTTAAAGTAGTAGTTTGAATTACAGAGGACTTGTCAATTCTACAACATCAATTATATTAAAGCCTGTAAAATCACAGAAATCAATAAATAGTTTACTACTCAAAAAGCAGTTATTACGCAATTAAAGAAAATATTTGCTTTTACTATTAACTGATAAACGTTAGTTGAGTTTACTACTCTTAAAATTTTGAGTTGACTATACTGAAAAAAAATTTGTTTAGATCAAATAAAAAGTATTTGATCCAAATACATAATTTACTTGTCTATTTATCCAATAAATATGTATTTGAACCAAATACACGTTTACTAAACCTAAGTATTTTATTTTATCGTGCCAAATAAATAATAATTTGTATCAAATACGAAGTATTCAAATCAAATAAAAGGAATATTCAAAGCTAATAAATAATTATTTGAATCAATGAGGAAAATTATTTTATTCAATACTGCATGTTTTTTGATTCAAATAAATATTTATTTGCATGAATAAAATATTTTTCTTGAAAAAAATAAAAATTTTCTTGAATCAAATATTCAATTATTTATCATAAGTAATTGTTTTAATTAAAACTAAAACCTCTTTAATTGAGGGAATTATTATTTTATTTGATCCAAATACATAATTTATTTGCATAAAATCTAAGAATTTTTTTAATTGAAATAAATCAAAATTTGAATTAAATAAATAAGATATTTATTTACTAATTCTTCCATTTCTAAATTTAATTCTTACTCAAATTAAATTTATTATTTAACGTTCTAATTAATTAACTGGCGGATCCTTTTATGAAAATAGTAAATATACAAATTGGGTAGAGAGAGACATTCTTATGTTACATTCCATGGTGTGCGAAGGAAAGATAGGGTAAGGGGTACAGTGACCGACACCCTGGCCATACTTTCAACTTTAAATGACATTTTATTGTAATTTATTAAAGATTTAGTTATAAAATAAATTTTAAATAAAAAATTTGGGTTAAAATTTATAGTACACAAGTTTAAAATTAAAAAACACCTTGATAAGAGTTTATAATATTAATTTAAAAATGTATGGTATGAAAACAGTGAACGACACCCTTTAATAAAATAAAAAATATTTAAACTTCTATTTAAGTAACATGATATTTATTAGTTTTATCATAAATTTTATTATTCAGACTTAATGTACAAAAAAAGTTGCTTTTAAAATATAATTATTTAACAATTTTTTCATATTTATAAAATTTGTAATCAATAAAGCAAATTTTTTGAGGTTAGTTTTCTTGAAAGTATTAAATATTGAGGAAAATATAAACATATAAAATTTTGTATAAACTGTATAAGTTTTTAAATATCGTATATTAATTAATTTACTAGTGATATTTAATTAAATATTATTATTTTTATAGTTAATATCGTTTTTAATAGCAGGTGTCGTTCACTGTCTGGGTGTCGGTCACTGTACCTTTTACCCTATGCGTTACCTAAGGCGATACCAAAAGCGTTACCTGAGGCGATACTGTTACCTGAGGCGATATTAAAAGCGTTACCTGATGCGATACCTTCGTTGGTTGGTTTTGGTTATTGGCCTGTTGTCCTCGTAGGTTAAGTAGCCATTTCTATGTAGATGTATCACGTTAAGGGTGAATCACAGTTCGTCGGGTTAGTGGAAAACTATGCCATTTCAGAAAATATTTGAAAAACATGCCATTCCGCGTGAAGATTGGAAAAGATGCCTATTCATGAAAGCCGTGTGAAACATGCCATCTCGGATGATATTTGAAAAACATGCCATTTCGGCGAAGAGTTTTTTTCTCCTATTTTAAGTTGGTAATACTGACTCGAAATAAATAATAGGCATCTCTAAAAAACTTTTTCTCTGATTTCTGCTATTCTTATTAAAAAATTTAATAATGAAAGCACTTTTTTCAAATTAGTCAAATATCTAAAAATGACAAAAGTTCGTATTTTACTCTACATATTTTCTTTGACTACTATTTTAAAATTAGATTTCTTGTAATTATTTTTCTATTTGGTTTGCACATACAATATAGTGCATTTTATATGAAATATTAGCTTCTATATTATTATTTTTTTTATTTTGATCTCTTCACGTATATCCTTTTTGGGTTTTTACTATGTCGGTTAGCTTCTATATTAAAATTTAATCGAAACAAAATACTGTCTGTCAGAAATAGAAATTGACGATTTAATTAATGAAAATAGGCCTATTATTTATTTCGAGTCAGTATTACCAACTTAAAATAGGAGAAAAAAAACTCTTCGCCGAAATGGCATGTTTTTCAAATATCATCCGAGATGGCATATTTCACACGGCTTTCACGAATAGGCATCTTTTCCAATCTTCACGCGGAATGGCATGTTTTTCAAATATTTTCTGAAATGGCATAGCTTTCCACTAACCCGACGAGTTGCATTTGCTATTGCATATGAATAAATTCTTGTCCGGGATTATAAATATAGTTTCTTCCTTCTCTGCTTAGTTCATGCTTAGTCCCTTATTTTGGTTATATTGTGTTCAGTTTGTGTTTGTAATTCGGAAATATATGGATATTAGGTTATAATTGGATCGTTTAAAGGTGTATATGTTCAAAATGGAAAGTAATATTATGAAATAAATTAAATTGAACATCACCATAAATTATTTGCATGTAAACAGCGCATATACATTGCATCATTTAAAAATTTGTATGGAAAATTGAGAGCATAGAAAACCTTGTCATATATAATAGAAACTTAGAGTCAGTTGCATACATCAAAATTTTGAACTTTAATTAAAACAATACGAATACAGCCATATGCATATATACAAAAGTGCAACCGGAGTAAATTATATGATAATATCTGCCTGCCTGAAAAATTTATCAATTTCAATGAGGTTTGCAAATTGATTGCTAAATGCAAGTTGGTTTAATGCTTCTAGAGGACTTTCGACTTGTGGGTATTTGTTATACAGAAATCTCAAGAATCTAGATCTACCAGAGGCAAGGAGTGGACAATTAGTAAGGAGATGTTCCATACTTTTTTCAGCGCGGCCACATAAACAATCGAGCGTTCTATTCCAAGAGAACCTAACTAAATGTTCGGAACACAGAATATGACCTGATCTAAGACGGCTGATCCTGTTAATTGATCTTCGATTCAAATTAATCCCCTCAAACCGGGGTCTTTTAGATTTAATATTAATCATTTGGTAATATAAGTTTGTAGAATTTCCTATAAGACCATAGGGCCAGCACAAAGAGCTCCAATCGTGGTGATCCTTTTTAATTATTTTTTGCAGGTCTCGCGGTTCGACATTAACATTTTTGCATACTTGAAATTGTAAGGCTGTCTTGGCAAGATTATCAGCGACTTCATTACCTAATATATCTTCATGCGAAGGAACCCACAAGAACTTTATTTCTCCCAAATTCAAATTGATATAACTATCGAGAAGGATATGAATCTTCTGGATTAGAGGAGTGGCCTTGAAATTTCCCAGGATGCATTTCCTTAGCTCCTGCAAAGCCCCCAGAGAGTCAGAGACTATCAAGATATTTCTTATTTCCCGTCTGATAGCATATTCTATTGCAGATTTGATTGCCATAATTTCAAGCGAGTAAATGGAATGCAGTCCAGCTATTCTAGATCCATATTTAATGTCTAGTTGGGGGATGTAAAAAGATATGGAGCCTTTATCTGATCTGGGTTCAAATGAAGCGTCAGTATAGATAATTATATCTCCCAAGTTTATAGTTTATTTGATTCCAAGTGAGATCATAATACGATGGTAATATCGTTGAGTTAGTCATTTCCATGAGACCTAAGGAAGAATTATAGGCAGATATCAACCCCAGTTTATCCGTATTTAAATTTCCAGAATATTCTAATGCAACTTTAATTTCTTTCAACTTTATGTTTACAGGGTTGTCCGACCATTGGGCGATGCGGACCATGTATGAGTGAGCTAATTGAGCTCTTCTTAAGTCAGGATGAGTCAGACCTGATTCGGATAAAAGGATCATTATAGGGGTTGTTTTCATGAAACCTAATGCGATTCGGATGGCAGAGTACATAACGCGGTCCAATTTAATTAAATGGGAATTACTGGCTTTCAAAATGAAAAGGAGACCCCAATTCAACCCAGAATCAAACAAACTTTTACATACAGTTAAAAGAACTGAGGAAGGAATCCCCCAAGTTGTACCTGCAAGAAATTTTATAACATTTAAGGCTCTACTGCATTTGACAACGACCGACTTAATATGTGCGTGCCACAATAATTTTGGATCTAATAAGATCCCAAGATACTTAAATTCTTGAGCTGATTGTAACTTTTGTCCATTTAATTCCAACCATTGTCTGGTAAAAATCGCAAATTGTGTTTTAGGGATTGAGATTTCCAATCCGTAATCCTGGAGCCAAGTTTCAATACAGCGAAACGCTTCCTCCAAAAGAGTTTTAGAATCACTTAAATCTTTCCTCTTAACATATAATAATATGTCATCAGCATACATGATGATCAGGACGTTTTGAGGTAAACAATTTTTAATGTTTCTCAGGGCCAGACTAAAAAGGAGTAGTGAAAGAACTCCGCCCTGAGGAACACCCATGCCACAAGTTTTAGCTTCGTTCCTATTTAGATTGAAATGTAAGTATCGCTTGAGTATAAGAAATCTGACAAAATTAACCAGACGACCAGGAGCGTTAAGGTGGACAAGTTCCTCCAATATCTTGATAGGCTTAATAGCATTAAATGCTCCCTTTATATCAAGGGCTATGGCTGCGAGGTGACCTTTTTGACCTATAGCACTGTATATATCCGTAACGAAAGAAGCAACAGCATCAGTAGAGGATCTACCTCTTCTAAAACCAAACTGGAAGGTTGGTAGCCAATCCTCAACCTCAGACAGGTATTCTAGTCTTCTCTGAGCCATTCTTTCAAATAATTTTGAGATACATGA